TTTGTCATTTTAGTGGAAATGACAATAAGTAATAAAAAGACTTGATATTCAAACACGAAAATAAAAGAAAAAAAACGCAAAGAAATGAAAATACGGAATATTGGAAAACGAGTGAACGACCCATTACGACCTGTTGGCGACACGACATTAAAACGAATAGAAATGAACACAATACGACCTTGACTTTTATTTTTGACTTTTTTCTTAATATATCGATCAAAGAAACTGTGACGATTGTGGAAAGAAACTACAGGTCAAATGTATATATATTTTTTTTCATTTCTTATTTCACATTCAATTTCGTGATATTAACTTTTTCTTGGCCATGAAAGAATTGTCAATAGAGAAAAAAAAGTCATATTATAAAACGTCTCGAAACATTTCAAACAAATTTTGCAAGGTAAAGTAAATATTGCATATGAGTTTATATCACGCGCGCGTTCCAGATAAAATATCATGGTTATGTCATATCATAAATTCAAGAAAAAATAATTATAGAACAAACAGAGAGAGTGAGAGAGAGAGAGAGAGAGAGAGAGAGAGAGAGAGAGAGAGAGAGAGAGAGAGAGAGAGAGAGAGAGGGGGAGAGGGAGAGAGAGAGAGAGAGAGAGAGAGAGAGAGAGAGAGAGAGAGAGAGAGAGAGAGACAGAGACAGAGACAGAGACAGAGACAGAGACAGAGACAGACAGACAGACAGATAGACAGACAGACTGACTGACAGAGAAACAGAAACAGATAGAGATAGAGAAAAAAGTAAATAAAAAAAAACAAAGAGATAGAAGGAAATTAATGAACGAGACAATTTCTTTTTTTAAAGAATACACATCCACCCATCCCCAGACCGCAATTACACAATCACTGCACATTCATTAAGATCTGCAACATCTGTTTATATATGCATACAGGCAGTCACGCAGAAAATGCATGTAACCAGCATGCATGTTATGAAGAGTAACCTAAATCTAGACAAACGATGACTTTGAAATATGTGCGGAATTTTCTTATTGAATTTACTTGGTTATGAAAGGAATAATAATAGTAATAATGTTTCTATTTTATCTTTTGCACATGATTCGCACAAAGCGACTGTGTGTATAAGGATAGTTATGCAAATAGTGATGGTAATGCTGATGATGATAATGAGGATAATGATAATGATAGAAATGATAATTGGGGTGATCATGATATCAATAACGAGAGTAATGATAACAATTAAGATGATTATAATATTCACATATATCAAGACACACACATTGCGTAATCTAACAAATATTGTGAACTGTGTTAAGATGTTATCTATCAATCTATATAGATAGACAGAAATCAAGACGCAAAAATCAGTTTTTTTGTTGTTGTTTTTCACTCGTATTCGCAGTCGACACGTAATTCTGTAAGTCAATGAATATATAGATAGACAGAAATCAAGACGCAAAAATATTGATATTCACATGGACATGATAAGAAATCTAAAAAAAAAAAAATATTATCGTCATGAATATCAGTTTTTTTGTTGTTGTTTTTTCACTCGTATTCGCAGTCGACACGTAATTCTGTAAGTCAATAAAGGTTAGAGCTTCTGGAATAACATTTGAAGGTTCGTTTCTTTTGTGTTTTTTATTTTCCCAAAAATTACAGAAAACAAATTCAGTCAAACCGCATGTCCGCTTTTCGTGTTTCTTTTTTTCCTAATTCCTTTTTCTTTTCTTTTTTGTACGCGATGTTGCCAACAATGCGTGCACTTTAACACGTGCTCTGTTTCTTACTAAAGCACCTTCTTCTTGTATTATGTAACCATTCTTATTTATACCCCAGAGGAATGTGATTATAAATCTAAAAAAATAATTATTATATTTCGACTGGCATACGTTGTAAGCATTGACAGGATTAAAGGGAAAATACGACATATATCTTATCACCTAGCGACATCTGGCATCTGCAACTAAAGGTTACTAGGACGTGATGAGTACGGAGTTTAAGCGATGAGTTGCCAATGCGTGGATTACCTGGCGTTATTTTTTCACCTTGTCTAAACCGACACGATTTATTTACGTCTTGGCACCCTAGGCTTTCTCTCTCCCCTTACCCTTGCTTAACTTATTTGCAAATGCAGTGGAATATTTGAATTATATACGTATATACATACATGCATACATATGTACGTGTGTGTGTGTGTGTGTGTGTGTGTGTGTGTGTGTGTGTGTGTGTGTGTGTGTGTGTGTGTGTGTGTGTGTGTGTGTGTGTGTGTGTGTGTGCGTGTGTGTGTGTGTGTGTGTGTGTGTGCGTGCGTGCGTGCGTGCGTGTGTGTGTGTATGTGTGTGTGTGTGTGTATGTGTGTGTGTGTGTGTGTGTGCGTGTGTACATATACATATAAATACATATATACATTAATACCATTTAAAAAGAATCGAACCAAAGAGAGAACCTCGCAAAATAAGGAATTCTGCTTAAATATCGTGAGATCGGAATTTCCAGTCTAGGGAGCTCCGCTGGCTTAACCTAGAGAACGCAGATCACGACCTAGAAGGAAGATCAGAGAGAGAGAGAGAGAGAGAGAGAGAGAGAGAGAGAGAGAGGGAGAGGGAGAGGGAGAGGGAGAGGGAGAGGGAGAGAGAGAGAGAGAGAGAGA